CGTTAAATTGACGTTTAAAAAAAATTTAAGGAAGAAAATCGGCATCATCGTAAAAAAATACATTAGTAAATCTTTCTACTATCTTTAAATATGAAACAGAAAAATTATAAATTGAGTGGGACACTTTAAATGATGTCCCTGTACATACTTTGTATTCTGTATAGATATAACTTAATTTTTAATAACCACACAATGCGGGTCAGATACTAATGTAACGTAGCCAATTAACCTAAAATAATAGAAAAAGTTATAATTTAGATAAAAAAAAAACTTCTTTTCAATCTGGTTTGGTGTTTCGAAAAATTGATGTCAAATGATTCCTATATTTATAATCAATAAATTAATACCGTATGATCGAAAAAAACGGCGTCCAGTTGGCTTGGAAATGATGATCGATGACATTTCCCATATAATTTTACATATACAATGCGACAGCGATCTTCATTTCATAGCCATCGCTGACGTGTCGTTTTTATTCGATCATACGGTATATCTCTAGAAACAATAGGTACAAAAGGTATATATTAATATTAAGAAATATACACCTTTGCACCTTTGGCAAGGTACTTACAATATAATAAAATTAAAAAGAAGCTCCATAGCTGGTTATTAAAAGTGGCTCAACCCCTATAACTTTTTTATTTTTTCAGATAAAACAACGAGATTTGGTATGTTAGTATATGACATAAATTAGGATTGATTGACATATTCAATTGTTTTCGATCATTTACGGTTTCACCGGGAATTACTACAACTTTTGATTTTTAAATGGCACCCTCGGTATTTTTTTACCGTATATGATAGAAAATGACACTCTGAATAGAATGACATATCATATGTCAACTTTTGACATTTTCACATATGATGATTTATTTGAAATTGTAACATGCGATTCATAACGACAATTTGACTCGAAATATCAAGTGTGTGGTGTCAAATTATTCGTAAAAAATGCTTTTTCCAAATATATTATGCTAATGAGCCACCCTCGTTCCATTTGAAAAAATTGAGATATGATTAAAAATACGATTTGGGCATCTTATAACCGGCCAGGACAAGACACTAAAAACATTAGACGATTAAATTTTTATTATCAAATTATTTTTCCAAGGCTCCTTGGTTAAAAATTAGTGTTTTTAACACAGCCATGGCACTCTAGATTTAAATTTAAAATACAATTTGTTTTTGAGCGAATATGTCAAAAGTTGATTCGATTCAGAGTGTCATTTTCTATCGAATAAAGTAAAAAAATATCGAGGGTGCCATTTAAAAATCAGAAGTTGTAGTCATTTCCGGTGAAACAGGAAGTGACCGAAACCAATTGAATACGTCAATCAATCCTAATTTATGTCATATACTAACATACCAAATCTCGGTTTTTTTTATCTGAAAAAATAAAAAAGTTATAGGGGGTGAGCCACTTTTGAGACTCACCCGGTATAAGTGCATAGAGCAATGCAATATGCAAAAAGAAAGTTTATAACATTCAATTAATCAAGTAAGTCAAAGTGTACGAGAGAAGAATAAATTGACACTCATTTTGTTCCTAGTTCTATTCTAAACTTAATTTATTGTCTACACGTGATATTGTCAGTATTATACAATTTTTTTCAATTACCGCATATTGAGTATTCAAAAATATGGATATTTTTAACATTGTATTAATATTTTTTGTTTATTGACCTTTCAGTATTGTTTAATGTTTATTAATCAATACACTAACCTAATATATGATACCGTATTTATTAAAATGAATTATTTACGTGTAGTACTCACTCACGAACTCAACTCAGAAACCGTTCGATGTACAGGGTGGGTCAAATTCGACGCTTTTAAATGGAAACACCCTTTTCTATAGGAGATAGACAAAAACTAATATCGGTGTCTGGAGCTCAATTTTTGTCAAAAACATGATGGTGAAAACCGCATATCGATATCTGTTACTGTTTCGGAGTTACGGGGTGTTTTCAAAAATATGAATTTTTAACAAATCGCTGTAACTTTTTTGTTATGAAAAATTTTGTATTTTTATAAAAACATTTCCAAAGCACCTTTTTACGTAGAATTTAATGGTTTAAGTATAATTTTTTTTAAATTAATAATTTAAGAATTATCAACAGAAAATTTGATTTTTTATATGGGATACCCTCTATATTTTAAATTTATTGAAAATAATTTAAAATTACCTTTCCAAAAATATAACACACTTGATATTTTGCTCGATTCCTCTTCGAGATATAGAGTATATAAACATTCGCCCGCTTTAAATTAGTAGGCTTTGAACGGCACCGGCTGTAATGAAAAAAAATTCTAGCTGTGAGCATCAATTAAAATGAAAATAATATTTGTTATGAGAGATGCAGAATTTTATAACAATTTAAAATATATACCCCCAACATCAACACATTTAAACTATATCTAATAACAATAAAAATAAATAGCAAACAAAGACATGAGATTTTGCTACAGGTGTTCGACATATCGACCGTCTTCTGTTATGGACAGACGGGGCAGTTTTTGAAAATTTCTCGCGGAATTCATAAACTCATTGGGGTAAAGATACCCTCTTATAACTGCTAAGTATTTTTAATTCTTGTCTAGATTATACGGAAGAATAAGGAACCTTTATTCTTCCGCAAATATATCCATAGGATTAGATCCATGGGCACTAAGTCAGGCGGCCTCGACGGCCAACGGCTGGGATCTTTGTTAGCTATCCAATTATTCTTGAGATTGGCTGCAAAAATTTGCTGATAACTTCAGCGTTCAGAGGCGGTGCGCCGTTTTGCTGGAAAAATATTTTCGAGTTCCATTAAGGGCATATCATCAATAAGGGGTCCAAAGCCTACTAGTTAAAAGTGGCGAACTTTTAAAAATTCAGTATTTCGAAGGGGATTATAACAAAATATCAAGTGTGCTATATTTTTGAAAAGGTAATTTTAAATTCTTTTCAGTTAATTAAAAATATAGAAGGTGTCCCAAATAAAAAATCATTTTTTCTGTTGATAACTCTTAAATTATTACTTTTAAAAAAATTATACTTAAACCATTAAATTCTACGTAAAAAAGTGCTTTGGAAATGTTTTCATAGAAATACAAAATTTTCCATATCAAAAAAGTTACAGCGATTTGTTAAAAATGCACATTTTTGAAAAACACCCCGTAACTCCGAAAGGGTAACAGACATTGATGTGCGGTTTTCACCATCATGTTTTTGATGAAAATTGAACTCCAGACACTGATATTAGTTTTTGTCTATCTCCTATAGAAAAGGGTGTTTCCATTTAAAAGCGTCGAATTTGACCCACCCTGTACAAGAAAATCACAAGAGATCAATCAGGCAATATTGACAATCAGGAAAAAAATATATTTCTTGAAAAAAGCAGTGGCGCGCCATAATATATTTTATGGGGTGTGGGCGTACGGAAAATGGAGTGTTGGAAAATAATGGAAATGCCTTTTTACCTGGACAACATATACCAAAATTAAAGAAAGTATCTAAAGTACTTTCCGACATATTGCGAGAAATTCGATTATATTTTATATAATACACCCTCTAGATCAGAAACGAAGTATTTTAGACCCCATGTTCATAAAAATGTAGTTTGATATAAATTTCAAGAATATAGTAGGTATATTTTTTAATTAGGGAGTAAAAATGACACTTTTTGTGGCGAGGCTGTACGTTTGACATACAGGCGAGCCATACAAAGTCAGTTTTACTCCGAATAGAACATGCTGTTTTCTTCAAACGCCACAAATATTTTTTAAACAATTTCAAAAGTTCCAAATAATATAAAAAGATTTAAAAGTAATACCTTGTATGTAATTATATATCGAGATACTATGGTTACGCTCGTTGAATTTGACACTTTATGTCAGTTTAATAATATATTTTCGTACTTTTGTGCTTAGGCGTAAAAGTGCTTTACTTTTGTGACGTTTAAAAAAATATTATTTTGTTGTTTTATAACTAGTATTTTACGTGAAAAAGTCATTAAACCTAATGAAATGTAATTAGACTTAAGTGAATAATACAACAAGAATATACAATGTAACAAAAACTATCTACTTAAAATGTTTAGAAAATCTTTATTAACAAGTCATTAGGTAATTGTTATTAGCATATATAAATAGAAAACATAAATCAACATTGGTTTGTGCTTAGAGATTGTAAATATTTATCTATCAATAACTATAGTATCTAACAGTGAAACTGTTTAAATTTTTATATACAGGGTTTTTATTTCTTAAAACATTTTAAACACACAATTTTTTGTTAAAAGTGAAAAACAAATAGATTTGTGTTTATTTTTGTTTATTTTATTAAGCACTTACTAATGGATAATACTACCACTGCCCAAATGTTTTATAAAAAATCATAGTGAAGATCTCAAATCAGAAACGAAAAAAGAATTATATGACAATAGAGGTAGTAGAATCAATTTAGAGCAATAAAAATCAGAAAAATTCCAGTGGTTCTCAAAATATCACAACTTAGTCACAATATGTTTTGTATTTTTCGAAAATTTTTGGATTAACATTTTTAATTATGAGTTAAAAAATACAAAAACTCGATAATATGGCAACATAGGTAATAGACTAAATTTAGAGCAATAAAGAAACAGAAAAAAATACAGTGGTTCTCAAAATTTAAGAAAAAATCTTTTTTTAATCATTTTTTGGACTTACTTGAAAAACGGTAATGAGAATATGTTTCTTTTATGGAGATCAACCAGCCCTGAAAATATTTGTACTTATTCAAGACTTACCCTATACAGGGTGCTACAAATTCGGGGTACGAGCATTGGTATCTCGGAAACCGTAATAGTTACGAAGATAGTTAAATAGTGTTATCCTGAAAAATTCAGGCGACTTTGTATGCAACTAAGTAATTCTATTGACATGGAGGTACTGAGATACTCGGTATATTTCATATAAAATTTAAGGGTTCTTTAAGAGAAGTGTATTTAATATACATAAAATTCAACAACACTCACCTTAGCGGTTCCATTCGTAGCTATAATTTCCATGCCACTCATTTTATTATATTTTTTCTTATTGTTCAACCACCCACAAGAAAACTAACACACTATCACATTTAATAATAAATAGTTTTTCGCTTTTATATAAAAAATAAATCAATAAATCACTACCACTAAAACTGACAAAACATTTAAATACTATCTATTGATCTGTGTCGATCGATGGGACATCGAATGAGTGATTCTATTATCGACAGAGTACTCGCAACAACAGTACCACAATAGAGTGGGAAAGCTCGTAACTGATACCTGGTAGCAAGGTACCACTGCAGTAGACGGTGCGGCAATTTTCTAAGTGTTCTAGCCCCTCTTTGTTAAGAAACAAAAATTATGGTACCTATGTTTCATAAATTACAGCGCCTTTTTTGTTTGCTTTTGTAGTTAACATACTGTTTTATACAGGGTGGCCCAGTGTTCCTAAAAAGCTCCCATATTAGCATTTCAGAGTTTATATTATACATACTTCATTTTTTTTTGTAGATAAGAGGGCAATGGTTGTACAGGGTAAGTTAATGATAAAGTAAAGTACATATTCTCGATTGTTGTCCGCACTATACGAAAAAATGTTGAATAGAAAAGTTTTAAAGAGAATGTTGAGATACATCATTTAAAATTATTTTTGAGTATACAGGGTGCTCGCATACAAATGTGGCAGATATAACATTTTTTAAACGTGCCACCCTGTTTTTTAATGTTTTTTATTTTAGATTCAGCGTATATAACGTTATTTACTTATAACTACTAGTTTCAATTAACATTTCAATTTATAAAAATCTTAGATTTCAGTACAATTTTCGGACAAATTTCAGTACTCCAACCTGACGAACAATTTTTTGCCAGTTACTGTCATATACACATGGCCAAAATTATTGCATATTACGATATTTTTATTTTATTTTGGACCTAATATGATTATTTTTAAATTTTTGGACATATTGGCTTACTACACGACTAACTAATATAAAATTAAAAATCTAAGTGCAACTAGGCTGTTATTATAATTTTATTTCATAATGAGTGAAAATCAACAAAAACAAATTTCATTTTAACCCATTAGTGCATAATGTATCTTTTAATGGACACATGTATATTTGATTGTCAGCATAATACTATCGATACAAATACGGATATTTTGTGCTTGTTGGGTAGATGGAATCTATAAAAAGTCGTGATAAGCAGTATGCCATAAACATCCATATGATAAGTGCTGCTTTATTAAAAATGGATCCCGATTTATACACCACACGACACGGCGGGTATGTTTTATGTTTTTTTTAATAAATTATATTTCTTATGTTGTTATAAAGTCGAATATAGTATCTTATGTATATTTAGAATAGTTCTACGTTTTCACAGTTATTTATGTTTTTTATAAGTTTATCAAAATCTTATTTTTTTGTGTGATCCATTATAATGGACGCTATGCGTACTGGTACATGTAGCAAACAAAATAAAAAAATATGTACAAGACAGTTTCTGATAAATAATATTTTATAGACTTTCTCTGCATCAGTTATTAGAAATAATTGATGACGAGAGTATTGACAACCCACCGTCAGAATATATAGTGTATATATATATATATATATATATATATATATATATATATATATATATATATATATATATATATATATATATATATATATATATATATATATATATATATATATATATATACTATATATATATTGCCACCAGAGGAGAAGTCGGCTGATACAGAAGGGGATAGCGATGATTCTGACGAAGAAACTGCTAATCCAAATCATCTGTCCAGAGGAATATTACAACAGCCCTGTGAAGTTCGGTTTCATGACTCATATTTTGATGAAGAAGATGATAATATACCTTTATCAGTTATTAGAAATAATTTAGCATCTACATCTAAAGAATATGTTTTACCAATGACTCCGACTGTCAACACATCAAATCCTAAAAGGCGTAGACAATACAATTGTTCTGAAAATATACCACTGTATAACATAAACCAAATTTGTACTCCCAGAGCGCCCTCTGAAGCGGCGTCTTCTGCCAAAACGCCTCTGGAATTTTTTAGAGTGAAACTCTAAAAATCATCAGAAAATTTTGGAGTGAAACTATTATTGAACATATAGTGACTCAATCAAATAAATATGCTCAGCAGAAGAATGCCCCTTTCAATATTACCAGAGAAGAATTTTACGTAGTTCTTGGAGCTATGTTGCTATCGGGATACACCAAATGTCCGAACAAGCTCATGTATTGGTCAAGTACTGAAGATGTCCCAAAAATTCTTTATAATAGTATCCGACTCAACAGATTTGAAATTATAATACAATATCTCCATTTCAATGATAATTTTTTAAATACACATACAGATAAATTGTACAAACTACGCCCTATCATAATACACCTGAATGAAAATTTCAGGCAGCATGGTGGCTTGGAAGAACACATTTCGATTGACGAGAGCATGATACCATATTACGGCAAGCATTATGCGAAACAATATATCAAAACCAATTAGATTTGGGTATAAAAAATGGGGTCTTTGTACCAGGACAGGATATTGTGTGACATTTGATATATATACCGGCAAATCTGATGCACGTGAAAATAAATTTGGGCTTGGTGGAGATGTCGTTCTAACATTGTTAGAAAATACAAAAATATGTCCTAATTCAGGGTATAAAATATATTTTGACAATTACTTTACAAGTATTGGATTACTTGATTATCTTGCCAATCGAAATATTTGTGCAATGGGAACAGTTCGGGAAAATAGATTGGAACGCTGCCCCTTTCCCGACAAGAAAGAGTGGAATAAAAAACCAAGAGGGGCTTATAAATTTATGGCTAGCGAATCAGTTCTAATGGTTAAATGTAAAGACAATAAAGTCGTTACAGCAGCATCTAACTTTTCCTCCAACAGTATTGTTAAAACTTCACGATGGTGCAGAATCACCAAAACTAAAAAACAAATTGATCAACCAGAAATAATTATAATATGGGAATGGGAGGAGTTGATAAAATGGACAGTCTAGTGGCTGTCTATAGAACAAGAATTAGGCAACGCAAATGGTACTGGCCAATTTTCGCATATTTAGTTGACGTTTCAGTGTCTAATGCTTGGCTACTCATGAAGAAACACTTACCAAAAGATAAAAACTGTTCAAGTTTACTGGTTTTTCGTAGGTACATTGCAAATTCGTTATTACAAACTTATGGGACACCTTCATCAAGAGGTAGAGTATCTACTACCACGAATGATGTGAAGTTTGACAACACTAGCCATATCGTAGTGTACAGTGAAACTCACAGAAGACGTAAACAATGCACAAAAAAAGCCAATTTCATCTGTGGGAAATGTAATGTCGGTCTACATCCCAAAGGTTGTTTCAAAACGTATCATATTAAATAAGCCTTGAAATTTATTTTACTATAAACAGTTTAAATAAAAACATAAAATAAAAAAGATTTTTTACAAAATATGAAGTTTTTTTATGACATTTTTACCCAGTTGATAAGAAATGCATGAAGTCAATTTTCAGAAAAATACATACAATGTTTAGTTTCTCTATTTATTTTCACTGTTATATTACATAAACTAATAGATATAATTAATTTTCCAAACTAATTTCAGAAAAAAATAACTTTATGCACTAATGGGTTAAACAGAAAATATTGAAAACAATTTTAATTATTTCGCACAACTAATAGTCTGTATTACCTTCTCGAGCCTCAATGCAGGCTGTTAGACGACGTGGCATGCTCTCAATTAACTACAGGGGGGATCATTCCCTTTGGCAATATGGCGTTTTAGCATGTTCCAAGCATGCTCGATCACATTCATATCTGGAGACATCGGTGGCCACCACAATTTTCTTATACCCATTTCCTCACAAAATTCGCGAACCACTAAAGTGCGATGGAGAGGAGCATTATCGTTCATGTAGGTTAACAAATTCATCCACCACTGCCCCTCGAAATGGACGCACAATAGACTCTAAAACGTCTCTAGCCCTGTCTCTAGACCTGTCATTGTGCCATCAAAAACAAGAGGAGTTCGAGCTCCGTGCATTATACCTGCCCATACCATAATGCTTCCCACTTGACACGGGGTTAAACTGCATTCAAGCGTGCTCGTCTTCCAGATGCCCTCCAGACCAAGGTTCGTCGCGAGCAATGCTTCGGAACACGTAGAGGCCTCCTTAAATGTAATCCTCTGTCATGGAGTCTTCTTGCTATGGTCTTTCTTGAAACATTTACTCCTTCAAGGCGAGCTAACTCATTTTTAATAGCAGTACTAGAAAGTAGGGGATTGTGTCGTGCAATTAGGGATATTTGACGGTCTTGCACAGCAGTAGTAACTCTCTTTCTACCTCTTCCAGGCCAGTCTGTATACTAGTTTGTCTCCTTGATTTTTTTTAATATTCGCGAAACATCGCTTTGTAGCCCTGTTCAGACAGTGTTACTATTCTGACTCTATTAAACTGTGAAATAATGTTTCTAGGCATTTTAAGGCCAAAACAATGGTCAAATTTCTTCTGAAACCCAAGAGACCACAAATCGAAATGTGCAAGAATTTGTAATACTATGGGGCTGAACGATAAACATTGTTTACCATATCCATTTTAACAAAAAAATGTTTATTACAGATTATCAAAGCTATGTATAAAAAAAGATTCTTTAAATTCCTTTCCGTATATTTTTAAACGATATATATGCAATAATTTTGACCATGTGTGTATTCTGTTGCTGAATTGACTATACATTTTCAACAAACACCACATGATCGAAAAAAAAAAAACGGCGTCAAAGATGTATAACGATGCCGGATGGGACTACTCTGTCCTTCATACCAGGCATCCTCTACTGTCATGTATCATGTATCACGGTCGGAGAAGTGTGTGGCGGGACCAGGTCAAAAGGATGCGTGGCTAGATAGAAGACTTGCCTCTCCTGGTTTCAACCTTGGAACACCAGAGGGCAACCTATTATATTCTCGTCTCCCTTAATTCTACATGCGGGGCTCTGTAAAAGTGGACCGACTAAACCGTGCGGTGTACCACCAGCTTTGCCAGAACTTCAGTGTAAGGACATCGAGTTTGCGAGTCATCAAATCGAGGGAGGAGGGCCACAGTTCTGTCCTCACAATAGAAATTGACCTCAAATCCAAGGAGGTATATAGAGAAAGAGAGATATATACTCTATTATAGATCCAGGATAACACC